CTGGCAGAAATTGTGAAGCAAGTGATAGAAGAACAAACCACGTCCCATGAATCCCAATAATGACAGCTTCAAAAATTTTTTTAATATTTTGAAAAATTATTCTGTAATATATAAAGTAATTTTTATGTAAATTAATAAATTACTTCATTTCCACATTGATTAAAGTTGCTATATAGATTTAAGGTATAGGATCTAGTAATAGTATAGTTATTACTTCTTTTTTTAGAAAAGCTCAGTTCTTACAGATATACTGTAATTTTAAGACTGTTTAGTCTTATATTTGTAAGATGACAGATGGTATTATCAGGCAAGATTATTTTATTTGTAACAGAGATAACTCGCCAGAGGTAAATAAAGGACCAACTTTACTGACCTTTCTGCTTAGTAAACAGTCGAATCAAGTAATGTGGAACCTGGTTTTAGTTGCCCTCTATATTTATTTTCTGTACCATTGGTAGCTTAGCTCTGGTATTAATATACATTTTTTGTGTATCAGTCATTGCATACTGCCTGCTGTATGGAATCCACACTTGGGCCTGCAAACCCCATTCCTATGATAGAAAAGGAGAGAACTCATTTGTCTCTAATTCTCTGAAGTGGAAACATTTCTTTTTTGTTATATTTGTTAAAAAGAGTATTCGTGTGATTTTTAAATCTAATGGGATTCTCTTTGGGGCTTATTCTTTACATGTTTAACCAGAGCTTCCCTTTCCCCTTCCATGAGGTCCCACTTTGTCCTCTCCCCCTCCCCCTCCCTTACAACCCTTACCAGCTCCATTGTGTCTGATTTACTTTCCCTGTTCCTCTGGCCCTCTTGTTGATGATTTTTCTGAGAAAGTTAATATAATTTAAACATGACCATTGGACTAGCATGTAAGATGTTCTCGGGTTTTATTTCTTTTTTCTTCCCTTAAAGCTGCCTTATGTTGGCATCCCCTGGGCTTCATTTTTTTTTGTTGTTCAGTATTCTTTATTTTCAGAAAGCATGGTTCTGGCGCAGAAAGCAGGTGTGTGAATGAAAAGTAAGGCTCAGCGCTTTTCTAGTTTTCTGTTGGGCATATGGACTTCCATAACAAACTGGTTTGGGTTGATTTTTTAAGCAAGTTTTAGTGGATACCTGTGTTGGTAAACAGAAGAGCTAATAGACACAATCCAAGTCATGGAGCAGAGTAACAGGATTAGGAGCCTGTTATTCAGTTTTATCCCATCATTCTCTTTGATCAAAATTGATCCCATAGAACTAACTTCTCACTCCTCCACTATGCTGAGTGTATCTTCAGGGTGACATTTGGCTGGTATGAACTATGTATATGACTGACTATAGGAATATATAATAAAAACAAAGGCTCTTTTAAGAATTACTTTATTATATTGGTTCCCCTTTTCTTGGAGAAATTGTAATTCAAGGTATTTTTGGAGGTAAGGTTCATTAATTTTAGGTGACTGATAACTGTTATAAATGGATATCCCTGTAAGAGAAATTAATACTTTTCAAAGTGGCAAAGTCTGAGAGAGGCAATAGAGAAAAACAGTCTTTAATTTACCAACCAGAAAACTTAGCAGAGAGTTGAATTAAGGGCCTATTCTGTTTTTCAAAGAAATGTAATCTTATAAGATCACTTTTTGAATTTAGGAAAAATTTTGCACATGTTTTTATATTGTCTGAACACCTATAGTTTTCCTATCTAAATTAAGGACAGAGGTTCAGTCTTCCAAGGGGAGAGAAAGCCAGTGATTACCTTTGTTATGCTTCTTTTTCTTTATTTATTTTTATTTTATTTTATTTTATTTTTTGAGACAAAGCCTCAAGCTGTTGCCCTGGGTAGAGTGCTGTGATATCACAGCTCACAGCAACCTCCAACTCCTGGGCTCAAGCGATTCTCCTGCCTCAGCCTCCCACGTAGCTAGGACTACAGGTGCCCGCCACAACGCCCAGCAATTTTTTTTTTGGTTGCAGCCATCGTTGTTTGGTGGGTCTGGGCTGGATTCGAACCCACCAGCTCAGGTGTATGTGGCTGGCGCCTTAGCCGGTTGAGCCACAGGTGCTGAGCAAGCTTCTTTTTCTTTAAAGGGACCTTCTAGCATACCCAGTCTACCATTAACTCTTCAAATTTATTATTTGGGTAACTTCTTAAGGATCAGGATGACTTTTTTAATCCCCTTAATGTGTGTTGAATTTTAGATATCTAAAATGATACTACCTTATATTCTGAGTATCAGTTGTATGTCAGCCACTTTAGGCTGAATTCATCCAGTCTGCAAAATGAATGTGTCCAGACACGTCCAAGTGAACACCATGCTGGAAGTTTCCGAATACCCTTTGGGATGCCTCAATTGTTTTAACTCAGAAGTGGATCCTGCTCTGGACAGAGCTCCTTGAAAAACCATTAACTCTGGCTAGGCACCTGTAACACAGTCGTTATGGCATCAACCACATATACCAAGGTTGGTGGGTTCGAACCCAGCCTGGGCCAGCTAAATGACAATGACAATTGCAACAAAAAATAGCCAGGTTTGTGGCAAGACCTGTAGTCCCAGCTCCTTGGGAGGCTGAGGCAAGTGAATCACTTAAGCCCAAGAGTTTGAGGTTGCTGTGAGCTGTGATGCCATGGCACTCTACCAAGAGCAATACAGTGAGACTCTGTTTTAAAAAAAAAAAAAAATTAACTCTTAAGGAACCCAGCACTATTTGGTTTTCAAAGTGGAGTTTTTGTGTATTCCTAGGCCAGCAGTAAATTCTGCTTTAACATACCAGTCAAGTTTGCTAATAATGCAAAATTTATACATAAGGAGGTGAAACCATATTTTCCTTGTATTTTGTGGCCTAACACCTATACCTGTGAAAACATTGTAAAAGAACAATACTTGCAAAGCATTAGGTTCTAATTGCCAGTTCTCTTAAATGATTTGCTAACTCTCTATTTAACCATTACTTACCATGCAAATACCTTGATAGTTTACCACAGTTATAAGTCTGATTGATTATAAGTCTAATTTTCTTAATTAAATGGTAACTAGATACTTTGTTAATCAGTTTTATATCCCAACTTTTGTATCTTTCTGGCTAATATATTGTATAAGCATAGGACAATGCCTGTCAGAAATGTATCATTTTAAACATAAATAGGAAGAATTGCTTTCTTTTTTTTTTTTCTTTTTGAGACAGAGTCTCACTATGTCACCCTCGGTAGCGTGCCATGGTGTCACACCTAACAGCAACTCCAGCTCTTGGGCTTAAGTGCTTCTCTAGACTCAGCCTCCCAAGTAGCTGGGACTACAGGCACCTGCCACAACGCCCAGCTACATTGTTGTTTGGCAGGCCCCAGGCTGGGTCCGAACCTGCCTTGGGGTGTATGTGACTGGCGCCCTAGCCCCTGAGCCACAGACTCCAAGCCAGAAGAATTGTTTTCTAAAAAGAGTTTATGTTGCTTACATTCATTTGAGAAAGAATAAATTGAAGGAACAGTAGGTAACTGTTGGTCAAAGAAGATTTAAATCAGATCTTGTGTGTGAGTGTGTATGTGTGCATGTATTTACTGAAGAAAATGTGTTTCAATTGGAAAATTGGATACTGCATTTTAATTATATTTTTATTTATTTAGAAACTTAAGTGTTCTTTCATCCTTGATTCCACCAAATGACTTAATCTAATTTTCCTTGTTTTGGTTAAAACACAGGGAAACACCCTGAAATCTGTAATAATTTCTAAAGTATACACTTTCATTTTTTTTTTTTTCTGAGACACAGTATCACTTTGTCACCCTCAGTGGAGTGCTATGGTGTCATAGCTCATAGCAACTTGAGACTCCTGGACTTAAGCAATCCTCTTGCCTCAGTCTCTTGAGTAGCTGGGACTATAGTCACAGAGACAGGGTCTTGCTCTTGGTCAGGTCTTAATTGGTCTTAAATTCCTGAGCTCAAGCAATCCACGTGCCTCAGTTAATTAGGGCATTTTCCCATTTTAGAATGTTATCTGTGGTCATAACTCTTAATTTGAAAGGTTTTGTTGTAGATATTTTACTTAATGTAAAATTATTTTTACGCAAGATAAAAATTGTAGAGTCTTATTGTTTTTGTCCTACCACGGACAAGGGATGAGTAGACAGGACTTCTTTTTCCTTTTAAATTTGTACTGCTAAACACATCAAAGATATTGATATCAACATGAAATCCGAGGACTTCCATAAACATTACAGGTCAATTTTAGTTAAAGTGAAGAAATATTTTTAAAAATTCTTATAGAGTCCATTTTAATTTTCTTTTCTTTTTTTTTTTTTTTTTTTTTTTTGAGACAGAGCCTCAAGCTGTCCCCCTGGGTAGAATGCCGTGGCATCACGGCTCACAGCAACCTCCAACTCCTGCGCTCAAGCGAGTCTCCTGCCTTCACCTCCCAAGTAACTGGGACTACAGGTGCCTGCCGCAACGCCTGGCTATTTTTTGGTTGCAGCCATCAGTGTTGTTTGGCGGGCCCGGGCTGGATTCGAACCCGCCACCTTATGTGTATGTGTCTGGCACCTTAGCCACTTGAGCCACAGGCGCCAAGCCTAATTTTCTTAATTAAATGGTAACTAGATACTTTGTTAATCAGTTTTATATCCCACAGTTTTTTATGTTGGGATAGTTTGGAGGAATTGAACTTTGGATTCCTTATATACTTCCATGGAGAAATTGAACTCATGTTATTACTTAACATGTCTGTAGTAGAGAAGAATTATGTTTATATGCAGATATAAACTGTCTGAACTCATTTATTATGAACAAAAGATAATAAGGGGGGTAGTGCCTATGGCTCAAGGGAGTAGGGCGCCAGCCCCATATGCCGGAGGTGGGGGGTTCAAACCCAGCCCTGGCCAAAAACTGCTAAAAAAAACAAAAAAAAAAAGGCAAGGGGAAATGTGGACATCCATATATAGTTATTCTTGAATTAAAGAAAAAAATCAGACATTGACAAAGGAGGGTTGAACTGAGAAACAATGCCCTTATTACTGCAGAAATAAGGAAAAGAGGCAGTGGGCAACAGAGAACTTTGTCCTACTCAGAGAATCCCTGCCCCCTACCCCCAACCCCCTGCCAGAATGTTGGGTTTCAAAGAATGAGCATGTTAACGGATATCAGGAGTAGTATGGCCTGGACTAAGGATACTGAATCTCTAGAGATCGTCTACGTGTAATCTCTCTCCAGGGTAAGAGGAACTTACCAAGGAACATTAAAGTTGCTGTTGGGAGGAAGTTATATACGAAAACTAAAGGACAGAGAAGAAAGAGTAGAAAGAGACACAGCCTGAAGTCTCTAAGACTTAAAAAGCTGGATAATAACTACCCATAAGGGAGCCAGCATAGATCTGAGAAATAACTGAGCCTCCAAGGGTCTGTGTGCCAGGAAAGCTGCTGGTGATCGGCACAGGTCCTGCATCATCAACTGATTCACTTCGGCCATGTCAGTGGTAGCATCATTGAAAGACTGTGCCTCTATTCTGCCTTCTCTACAGAAAAACCAAGTGGCCTTGGAAGAGGCATGGGCTCTACAGAAGTGGAACTTGAGGCTGGGACTAGTGCCAGTAAGTTCGTGTGTCCGGTTAGAGATTTTGATGCTGTTGATGATTTTTCTGCCAAGCATGTATTTTCACCTGGGATCAGTATATTATTCTTCCTATGAAATTACTATTCTCAAGAGGCTAACAATCCAGGAAAGAGATAACCCAGTGGGGAAAGCATCTTACGTACTAGTTATGCAAGGCCAGAAGCACCTGGTTCACCTGAAGGTGAAGAGAGATTATTTCATGAACAGTTTTCCAGTCTACAGTTACCACAACGGCATCCCGGGGCAAGAAGTGCCTTTCATTTCACACGACTGTCACTATGAAGGCTACATCGAAGGAGTGCCAGGTTCTTTTGTTTCTGTCAATACCTGTTCAGGGCTCAGGGGTATCCTGATTAAGGAGGAAAAATCTTACGGCATTGAGCCTGTGGAATCTTCAAAGCAATTTGAACACGTACTGTACACCATGGCGCATCAAGTGCATGTCTCCTGTAGTGTGACTTCCAAAGACAGCCAAGTGGTGTCTACTAGCTGGCAACAAGGGAGCAGGAAGCCTCAGAATCTACAGGCGCTGTCCTACTTGTGGTCACACACCAAGTATGTGGAGATGTTTGTTGTTGTCAACAACCAGCGGTTCCAGATGTGGGGCGGTGACATCAATGAGACAGTCCAGAGAGTAGTGGACATCGTTGCTCTGGCCAACATCTTCACTAGGGGAATAAACACAGAGGTGGTGCTGGCTGGAATGGAGATCTGGACCGAGGAGGATCTAGTAGAAGTCCCAGAGGACTTGGAGGTTACGCTCAGGAATTTCAATAGCTGGAGAAGAGAGAAGCTCGTCCATCGTGTGAAGCATGATGTCGCCCACATGATCGTTGGGCATCATCCCAAAGGGAGTATGGGTCAGGCGTTTCCCAGTGGTGCCTGTTCGAGGGGGTTTGCCGCTGCCGTTGAATCCTTCCACCATGAAGATGTCCTCCTGTTTGCAGCGCTCATGGTCCATGAGCTCGGGCACAACCTGGGCATTCAGCATGACCATTCAGCCTGCATTTGTAAAGATAAGCACTTTTGTCTCATGAGTGAAAGTATCACTAAACATGGTGGCTTCAGCAACTGCAGCTCTGATTATTTCTACCACTTCCTTCATGAACAGAAAGGGACCTGCCTGTTTAACAAACCGTGGCACAAAGGCCGCAAGCATAGGGATTCTCGCTGTGGAAATGGTGTGGTAGAAGATCTAGAGGAGTGTGACTGTGGTTCTGCTTGTGACGGTCACCCATGCTGTGACCCAATATGTCAACTAAAGGAACATGCAGAGTGTAGTGATGGACTCTGCTGCCATGCCTGTACTTTCAGAAGGATTGGGTTTTTATGCCGTCCGACTCAGGATGAGTGTGACCTTCCAGAATACTGTAATGGTAGTTCTGCAGAATGCCCAGCAGACAGCTACAAGCAAGATGGCACATTGTGTGACAGAATTCACTATTGCTCTAAGGGTAAGTGTAAGAACCCTGATAAGCAGTGCATGGAGATTTATGGGAACGCTGCAAGATCTGCCCCAGAAGCCTGTTACATTTCAATGAATACCAAAGGGGACCGGTTTGGAAACTGTGGCCGTCCCACTGCAGCTCAGCAAAGATATGCTACATGTTTAGGTGATAATATATTTTGTGGGAAACTCGTATGTACAGGTGTTAGACACTTACCACAAATCAACACTCAGCATGCACTGATGCAGGTCCCTCACAAAGATGACTGGTGCTGGAGTATGGATGCTTTTAATGGTACTGATATCCCTGATGATGGAGATGTGCAGAGAGGCACTTCTTGTGCCCCAAACAAAGTGTGCATCAATTATTCCTGCACTCACCACTCCATACTCCAGTATGATTGTAAACCAGAGGAAATGTGTCATGGAAATGGGGTTTGCAACAATTTAAGGCACTGCCACTGTGTGTTTGGTTTTGCACCCCCAGACTGTAAAAATCCAGGAAGGGGTGGTAGTGTGGACAGTGGTCCCCCTATTAAACCAGGTAATGAAATTCCAAGTGTAGATGAAAGTAGAAGTCATAGTGTTGGCCAAGGTAATGCCCACCAAGGTGATGACAGCAGTGATGAACACCAAACCCTTGATCAGATGGTGTACATATTCCCCCTGTTTGTTTCAGCATTATTTTTAGGTCTAATTGTTGGGCATTTCAGGCCTAGAAAGGGGGTATCACAGTGCTCACAAGATTATCTAGAAGAAATCTCAGAAGAGGTTGCACCAAAAGAGGATGTAGGCAAAGTACAGGAAGAACCAGAGACAGAAAAGGAGTAGTGGAAGGAAGAAGTCCAATACAGCTAACATCTGATACACCAGGTTAGAATAAGGCTCAATGCAGCAAAGGTGAAGGGGGCATTTATGCTGCAGTGGCTCTTATCAAAACTCTATAATATGTACTAATATGGGAGTATGAATTTTCTTCTACATACTTTATTTCAGTAATGGATTTCATATCCATTAGAAATTGTATATAACAGAATACTGTTCCATTTTCAAATTTAATAAAAGAAAATAATTACAATTTTTGTAGGGATCATTCCTGTCAATATAGTCTTTCACTAGAGCTAATTTCTGAGTTCCCTGTTTTTAGGTGATACCTTCTGTTTAAAATATAATACTACCCCTACATGTATTTATTGTTATTCTAGAATTTTATTTAGTAAATTTATGAGAGTCTCACATAAGGAGGTTATGCCAGAATCAAACATATGATAACCAAGCATTGGGATGAATTCATGAATGAAAAGCCAGGGTGACAATTAGAAAGTTTCTTTTAAAATACTTGAAAAGAGGGTGGTGCCTGTGGCTCATTGGGTAGAATACGGGCCCCATATACTGAGGGTGGCAGCTTCAAACCAAACTGCAACAAACTGCAGCCAAACTGCAACAAAAAAGTAGCTGCACATTGTGGCAGGCGCCTGTAATTCCAGCTACTTGGGAGGCTAAGAGAATTGCCTAAGCGCAGCAACTGGAGGTTGCTGTGAGCTGTGATGTCATGGAACTCTACTGAGGGTGACAAAGTAAAAACTCTCCCTCTTAAAAAAAAAAAAAAAGGCTGAGCGTCAGCCACATGCACCTGAGTTAGCAGTTTCGAATCCAGCCCGGGCCCACCAAACAACAATGATGAATGCAACCATCAGGTACCTGTTGTGGTAGGTACCTGTAGTCCCAGCTACTTGGGAGGCGGAGGCAGGAGAATCACTTGAGCCCAGGAGTTGGAGGTTGCTGTGAGCTGTGATACCACAGCACTGTACCCAGGGCAACAGCTTGACCTCTGTCTCAAAAAAAAAAAAAAAGTGAAAAGGGCTGGTCTCAGTGACCAAGGCCTATAATCTTAACACTCTGGGAGACCAATGTGGGAGCATCCCTTGAGATCAGGAGTTCAAGACCAGCTTGAACAGTAGCCTGACCTTATTCCTACTAAAAATAGAAAAATTAGTCTGGTGTTATGGTGGGACCTGTAGTCCAGCTACTTGAAAGACTGAGGCAAGAGGATTGCTTGAACCCAGTTGTTTGAGGTTGCTGTGAACTAGCCTAATGCCATGGCAATCTGGCCTAGATGACAGAGTAAGACTGTCTCCAAACAAAAACTTGAAAACATTAGAGGTGGAATCATGACTGACCAGTGTTTCACTTCACATCTATTTCATTGCTGGAACTACCTATCTAACTGGGCTCCTCAGCGTCTATCCTAAGATACACAAGACACTGATTTGCCATCACAGTGAAGGAGTTCAGGAACTTTGACAGTTTCCCTATTATCTGGAGTGGGAAATGTAACCTTAATGTGGCATTAAAAACAGTGACAGTTGGGCCCTTCTGTCCTTGTCCAACCATTATCTCCTGTGGGTTCTGAAAACAAGTCTCTCTTCCTATCAGTGTGTTGAACAGAAGAGCCTCTGTCCTCATTACATACCATGTCCATTTCCCCACTCTTTTTCCTACACAATGACCTTACTCTTCCTGACTTCTGTTTGGCTTAACCCTCACAGCTCTGCCAAGGCTCTCAAAACTGTTGTAGCATACATTTCTCAACCCTCCCAGAGGAAGGATCCGCTATCCTTGGGGATACTCATGGAAAGTGAGGTAGAACCTGTAGCGCCGGCCATCTGAACCAGACTATCCAGTGGTGGTTTTCTGTGCAACAGGGTGTACATATGCTTCCTTGTTGAGTGGAATTTCCAACTGCTACTTCGAGAGTGAGAAATAAGTTTATGCATGGGCGTTCTCAAAACCTCAGATTCGGAAGGTAAATACTAGAGAACTTAAAAAAAAAAAAACAACCACCTTGTAACATACACAAGGACAAAAGGCTCGGAACCACATTTCTTCTAGGGAAGAATAAATAAACATGAGCCACCAGGTGAAATGCAGAAAATTTCATGTGAAAAATGGAAATTTTAAAAAAGGCATAGTGTTAGTGCCAATAGAAGAAGCTCTATGTCATGCCTTCCACTGGCTTCTTATTTACCCCAAACCATCCTTTTCATTTCTGTGGATAGCAGAATGCAGCGGCTCACACCTATAATCCTAGCATTCTGGGAGGCTGACGCAAGTGGATTGAGCTCACAGGTTCAAGACCACCCTGACCAAGAGCAAGACCTAGTCTCTAAAAATAGCCTGGCATTGTGGCAGACACCTGTGGTCCCAGCTACTCAGAAGGCTGAGGCAAAAGAATTGCTTGAGCCCAAGAGTTAGAGGTTGCTGTGAACTATGATGCCACAGTACTCTACTGAGGGTGACAACGTGAGACTCTGTCTCAAAAAAAAAATAAAATAAAAAAATACATTCCTTGGCTCAAGCAGCTAAGGTGCTAGCCACATACACCTAAGGTGGTGGGTTTGAATCCAGCCTGGGCCCGCCAAACAACAATAATGGCTGCAACCAAAAAATAGCCGGGCGTTGTGGCGGGTGCCTGTAGTCCCAGCCACTTGGGAGGCTGAGGCAGGAGACTGGCTTGAGCCCAGGAGTTGGAGGTTGCTGTGAGCAGTGAAGCCATGGCACTCTTCCCAGGGGGACAGCTTGAGGCTCTGTCTCAAAAAAAAAAAAAATACATTTCCATGGGTCTTTATAAATTAAATCCAGGCAGAGATACAAGTGACTATGCTAAAATAAAGCAAACGGCTACCAATTCTCGTTTTGGGGAGGGGTTTTTTGGCCAGGCTTTGTGGCTCACACCTGTAATCCTAGCACTCTCGAGAGGCCAAAGCTGGTGGATAGCTTGAGCTAATGAGTTCGAGACCTGCCTAAGCAAACGTGAGACCCCGTATCTACTAAAAAAATAGAAGGGGGTCACCTGTGGCTCAGTGGGCAGGGTGCCAGCCCATATACTGATTGTAGCAGGTTCAAACCTGACCCCAGCCAAATTGCAACAACAAAAAAATAGCTGGGTGTTGTGGCAGGCACCAGTAGTCCCAGCTACTTGGGAGGCTGAGGCAAGAGAATCGCCTATGCCCAGGAGATGAGGTTGCTGTGAGCTGTGTGACGCCATGGCACTCTACCAACGGCGATAAAGTGAGACTCTGTCTCTACAGAAAAAAAAAGGCTGGGCGCCCATAGCATAGTGGTTATGGTGCCAGCCACATGCACCAAGGCTGGCAGGTTTGAACCCAGCCTGGGCCTGCTAACAACAATGACAAATGCAACAAAAAATAGCCGGGTGTTCTGGCGGATGCCTGTAGTCCTAGCTACTTGGGAGGCTGAGGGAAGTGAATCACTTAAGCCCAAGAGTTTGAGGTTGCTGTGAGCTGTAACACAATGGCACTCTACCAAGGGCAACATAGTGAGGCTCTGTCTCAAAAAAAAAAAAAAATCTTGGCTGGGCATGGTGGCTCACACCTGTAATCCTAGCACTCTGAGAGGCCAAGGTGAGTGAAGTACCTGAGCTCACAGGTTTGAGACCAGCCTGAGCAAGAGCCAGACTCCCATCTCTAAAATATAGCCAGGCATGGTGGGCACCTGTAGTCCCAGGTACCTGGAAGGCAGACGCAAGAGAATCGCTTGACCCAAGAGTTGGAGGTTGCTGTGACCTATGACTCCATGGCACTCTATGCAGGGCGACAGCTTGAGACTCTGTCTCAAAAAAGTAAAAAAATTGACGCAGGTGTGGTGGCTCACACCTTTAATCCTAGCACTCTGGGAGGCTGAGGCAGGTGGATTGCCCTGAGCTCACAGATTCACCCAGCCTGAGCAAAAACAAG